ATGACAGTAAGTCAAACAGTGTCAAAAACCACAAAAGCCTATGTGAGGCTCCAGTTTCAGCTCCAGTGAAAACTACAGAAGTAAACTTTGGACAAGAAACATGTCTTGGCTGATGGATTATGTCAGCGGTAAGAGGAAAATTGTGTAAAGCAGATTTTCCGGCAAGCCATTTCTTTAAAAGATGGAAGTAAGTTGCTACCATATTGTTTAGAATGAGCTTTTATTGTGTTCTGTACTGTGTGGATTCCTCCTGCTTTCTTCTTAAGATGCTGTAGATGCAAGGAGGCTTCCCACAATTCAGTTTTTTTTTCAAATGTCAAAGCACTTTCATTAGCGAAAGTCCATGTTTCTTCATTCCAGGATTCATCTGTCTGAGAGCATTTGGAGAAAAAAAAAAACATGCCATTTTGCTTCAGCATCGCCTGTTCATCTGACATTACTCTCAGCTCTCCCTGCCTTCTGTTCTGAACCATTAGTGGTGAGAGATGCTCCTGCAACATCGTACTCATTTGTGTAACGTATGTCACTATCGATTACTCCAGGCGGGAAGGCCAGTAGCGTCAGCAGTTTGCGTGCAGGCCTCAGCTGTATTTGTTTAGGGCATCACGTCAGCAAGTTCGGTAGTAAGCGGGCGCGTTCGTGTGCGTGACTCATCCTCACTGAAGCTTTGTCATTAGCTTACCTGAGGAGGCAGATTGCTGGAAAACAGAAGAGAGCGGCCGAAGCCTTTGGGATTCAGTGCTGTGACTCAGTAGATGCGGCAGGCTCGATGCCAAGCGCTACAATACGGCTTGCAGTGTGGCACAGAGCCGAGCGCCCGCCAAACACTCCGCTCCAGTCCTCATTTTGTCATTGTAAAGGGGAATAGTTTGGCACAAATTCAAATGTACACAATTTTCTCTTTACCAAATGCAACAGCCAAGACCTTGTTTGGTGCCTAAAGTTTGTTTCTTTAGCTTTGGAGCTATTAGCATACATTTCACTCCAGAATTATTGTCACCCTTCATGAAAATTAGCTAAAATCAATACATTAAATAAACCGCACATGTAATGAGAGATTCTTAAAGCTTAAAATAGGTAAACTGCATATTTATACTTTTACATTAATAAATTATTTAGTAATATGGGCATCTTCATTATTAATATTTGGTGAAGCCTCCCATTATAAGAATGACAGCGCTAAGACGCTTTCTGTAATGCTTAACAAGGTTGGAGATTACTTATTGAGGAATCTTGGACCACTCCTTCATGCAAAAACATTTCCAGTTCCTTGTGGACTGCCCTCTTTAATATACACCACAGATTTTCCTTCGGGTTCAAATCTGGAGACTGAAAGGCCATCGCAGAATTTCATTTAATGTTCCCACAACCATTTCTGTGTGGATTTTCATGTGTGTTTGGGGTCATTATCTTGCCGAAAGGCCCACTCATGGCCAAGTTTCAGCCTTCTGGAAGAGGCAGACAGAGTTTGGGCTGGTATTTGGTGGAATTTAATTATGCCACTGATTTTCACAAAAGCACCTGGACCACTAGCAGCAAAACAGCACCAAAGCATAAGTGATCCATCAATGACTATCAGGTGCTGTTCATTGGATGCAGTCCCACTTTTTGGCTAAATGCAATGTTAATGGCCAAAAAGTAAATTTTTTGTCTCATCTGACCATATCATACGATTCCATTTGTAGTTCCCAGGGCATTTTGTAATGTTCAGGGGCTGCATTTTTAAAAAAAAAAGACTTTTATGAAACTTGCAAAAAGTTTCTGGTCATGGAGGTGGTGTAACAGTGGATTCTTAAGTTTGAAAACTTCAAGATTCACCTACGCTTCGCAGTTCTGAAACCCCTTCAGCCATTGTTTGACTACTTTTTAGGCTTGTATGTCTAATAAAACAGAAAATGAAAAACAAACCTGAACATCACAGAATCACTGATAACAAGGATTTATGGAGAAACTGTATTTTCTCTAGGTTCCATAGCCTTATGCCTCCAGAACTGGAAAAAGCACATTTTATATGGGTAAATCATATGTACTATATAAAAGCAACTGACAAGTCATGGATCTTATACCTCACCAATTAGCACTGCGCTAACTGCATGCTTAAATTATCACTAACTTGTTTCAAACTGTGTCGAGTTGTTAAGTAATAATAAATAAAAATGAACAGGGGTGGCCGGTAGCCTAAACGTCCTTAACGACACGTCCTTAGCAGTGCATTCTTGTTAAGGTACTTGTGTTTTGTAGTAGCACAGTGTATGGTATATACACCATGCAGTGATTTCACTGAATTGTTAGCCTGTAGATTTTCTTCTTGTAATGAAATGAAATAGTGATTTTAGTATTCGAATACTGGCACCTTGAACGGTTAACCAAGTACTCGAAATGACTTAGCAGCTTTGTATGAAGGAAAATGTGCGATTTAGGCCTGCATTTTGCACAGTGCTAACTGGTAGTCACTTACTTGATTGAAGGCTAGCAATGATAGCCTAGTTGTTATCTACTGTAGCTTCAGTGCAAAACTGAACAAGCAAACTTTTGAAGAAGCCAAACATCGATTACATTTGGGGTGAGAAGAAGTATTCATCTGAAACTCTTCCTTTGGTCCAGTATAATATCAGAATCAAAGCCACCGCAGACTCAGGTAGACCTTTCAGTGTCAGCCCTGGTCACTGAAGCAACTCCACTGTTTGAGAAAGCAGATAAAATACTGTTTGGATAGAAACCTGTTCACCACAGGTGAACTCTTCTGAAAGATGCCTCCTTTATAGGAAATGCAAGTAATCTGAGAGGCAGTAATCTTTTAGAATTCAAGAGAGACAATAATTATGTCAACTGTCTAAGGATGTTGCTCTCAAGGACATGATGATATCCAGTAGGCCTTTAATGGCTTTAGTGAAGGAAGCTACAGATTTGTGGGACACTTCTCTGAACAGTACATATGAAAAGGTTCACGTAAGCCAGAAAAATCTCTATGCGTAAGGGATAAGGCCAAAAACTACAATGGAAAGCTTGTGACATTCCCACAGACACCACTGGCATACTTCTTTGATGGATATCACCACATGGGTTGAGGAATACTTTAAAAAAACTGCTGTCAGTAAACACTGTACTGTGCGCAATTCAAATAATGGACGTTATATTCTCTGGGCTGAAGAACAAAAGGACCATCCAGACTGTTACCAGCATAAAGTTCAAAAGCCAAGGCCTGTCATGGTATGGGGGGGTTTGGTGCCTATGGCATGGGTAACTTGCCCATCTGTGAAAGCACCATTAATGCTGAAAGATTTATACACATTTAGGAGCAGCATATGCCAGCATCTTTTTCAGGGGCGTCAGCATGACAACACCAAGCCACATTCTGCACACGTTACAATGGCACGGCTGCGTAATCAGAGAATGCGGGTGGTAGACTAATCTGCCTGTCTCTTATTGAAAAAGTGGAGCGCATTATGAAGTGAAAAATACCACAGCAAATGCCCTGTACAGGTGCACAGCTGAAAAATTGTATTAGAGAAACATGACAAAAATATCTGCTTTTAAAACTGGAAAAAAGTAAAGGTGATGTAACACAGTGGTAAACATGCTACTGTCCCATTTTTTAAACGTGTTGCAGACATCATATATATACAAAAAACAAACAAGCTCATAAAGTAAAACATCACATTGTGTATTCAATTTAATACAGGTCAAACAGAGTTCACTGATCACTGCTTTCTGTTTTTATTAGCATTTCATATACTGTCCCAATGTTATTTATTAGCATTTCATATACTGTCCCAATGTTATGGGAATGTTATGTTACTATATCAGAATTTGTTTATTTTAAAAAAGTGAGGACAATTTTCCAATATGGGCCCTTTCAATAGTATACCAATATGATGGTAATAACTCCAGACCTATAGTTTTGTTTATCTATGTTGTAAATACTGTTCTCTGCATAATTTGTGGAACTCGCACTCAAGTTTTTCACTCACCTGTGTCCCTGTACTCTTGTGATGTGACAATAAATCTGATTTGATTTGATTTGATTTGATTTTGACCAGGACTACCCAAAGTGGGGGACTGGGGGCTGAGGATGTTCAGTGTGGCCTACCAGAAGGTTGCTTAACCCTCACCTTCTCAACCAATAAGAAAATATACATATACATATTGTTTTACATTTTTTTTGCTTTTTTATTTTCCTTTTATTTTTTAAATATCGGTTTTAAGTACTTTTACTAACAAAATGTGTTATCTAATAAAATAATAAAAGTAAGTAATAAAAAAACTGATATCATGCGCGTGTAACAACACGTGGCTAGCAGTTATGAGCTACTAGACAGTGGACAAGAAGAGATTTAGAGACCACCGGTACAGGAAATATCTTCACTGAAGGCAGTGTTCTTCAAATGTAAGGAAGCTATTGTATGAGTATTGGAAGAATATACACATATATACATACGGGTAACATGCAAAAACATAAGGCTAATGAGCCTTGGCTCATTTTTTTTTGTTTGTGGTCTTGGCCCTCGGACCCACCACGTAAGCAAGTCTTATTAAGCTTACTTAGCAACGCAGTTTCAGGCAGGTGTGTCTTCTCAGCAGTGTGCTTGGGGTCATTACCTTGCAGTAGAATGAATTTCTTTCCAATCAAACATTTTCTGTCAAGTTTTTGTCTGTCAGCATTCATGATGCCTTCAATCAAAAAACTAATCACCAACTCTAGATGTTAGTATACATCCCTAAACTTGCAATGATCCTACACTGTACTTGACTGACTGTACTTGCAGACATGGTTGATGGTTGGAAGAGTTTTTCATTGCTTTGCTAGAGTACATACCACCTTCAGCAACTTTAGTGCAACTTGGTTTCATTTAGGTTTCAAGCAACTAAAGTTGCATGAAAGTTTTACTGTGTAAAGCCAACATAATGGGCCAGTTGATTTCCATCATTATCGCCAGGCAATGGAAATGCTGAACTCAAACAAAAGTAAGCAAACTTTTTTGTTTCTTCTCTCATATCAGGTGCTCTCCAAGCCACTGTGAACATGGAGGAAAATGCACACAGTCATGGAGCACGTTCCACTGCAACTGCTCCAACACCGGCTACAGCGGAGCGACGTGCCACAGCTGTAAGAACTATTTTTTAAACCCTCACATATGCACATATTGCACTCACATATTGTAGTTGGTAATAAGAACCAGATATTAGGCTTGAGCCGACTGACGATAGAATTGAGTCACCAATAGTTTCGATCTATTGCGATAGTCAACCAGGTTGTCAGAAAACCTGCCATCCATGGCTTTAAGATGGATAAAAGTATTCACATTTGTCTTTTAACATATAATACAACACCTATATCAGCACCCATACGTCGTCTGGTTTCAGCACATTCTGTAGCATTCTGTTTTTTTGTGCTTGCTGAACTGAAAGCTGTGCTGCAGACTGCCATGCAGAGAGCATCTTCCTCTGTGAAACAGGCTTATATGATTTTGATGTGATTACAGAACCAAAAACACGAAACCTGTTATTATTATTAATAGCATAGTAATAGTAATAATAATAGGCTACAGTAATAGTAGCATTTAGGCTACTTCACACCGTAAGCTTTAGCCATTTTATTATGTGAACAAGAAGCGATCTATAGGCTGTAAATGCCTGATTTATTAAATGTATATGTATAGCAAGTACTACCAACCCATACTGAGAACAGTCAATGTGAATCAGAAATTAGAACACATTTTACTTTATTAATTTGACCTGTTTCCAATTGAAACAGGCTACCTGGGTGGGAAATAAATGTGGGCAGAACCATGTTGCCTTCGCTTTTCTTACACTTTCATGGCAAAAGCAAGAGAAAAAGACTTAAGGAAATTAGGTAACGTACGTAAAGTATGTGAGCAAGACTGCACTGCATTTGCGTAGATATGTGTACATCACGCCATCATCTGACCCGTCTCTCAGCCTCACAGTGTGGCAGTAAAATTTGGAAACCAGTGCATTGCCAGACATTTGAAGTACCTCACTCGTGTTAATAAGAACTCAGATTTCCAGTCTGTAAATAAACTGAAATGACTCATAAGTGATTATTTTACAAACGATCCAAAAACCAAAAGTGAGAGTGAAGTGACAAGAACAAGGGACATACTTGTACATGCAGTCAGGAGTGGAGGTGATGACGGGTGTTCAGGCTCAATGACTGGTCAGGGTGGCGGGAGGGGAGCGTAAAACGTGCCAAGATATTATTGGTTAATATATTTTCTCTTGCTTTCTGGAACAGTGATGCAGCCAAACTTCAGACAGCACTTAGAGGCAGCAAAAGTCACTTCAAATCCATCCAAGATTTTATGTTTTGAATGATATGACGCAATAGATTGTGCTGAAAATGACCAAGGATGGGAACTAACAAGGTAAAAAGGGACTCCAGGTTGACATAGAAACAGGCTCAGCACAACAGTGTGGTAGTTTTTTTTTTTGGAAAGCAACTCTTGCTGGTTCCTATCACCACCTCTGTAAACAATTCTGACTCAGTAAGTTTCTGTAAAATGGTGCGTTTCACATCAAACCACTCTGAATGACTGTGTTTACCATTCATTATATCATTAAAAATCATTTGGTAAAGCACATTACAGGCTTCAAATGTCAGAGTTTAAACTAGAGCTGCCATCAGTGTTTTACCCAATGTGGGAAAGGTAATATACACCACCGTTAGCTTGGTCTTTGTCTTTACTTTACACTCTCCAAGCTGGGACTGACTTCTTTGGCACTGACAGTATAACATGTTATTAACACTATTTATAATGCATTATATTAACAGTTCATAATGTATAATAAACATGGCTATAAAGTGTAATTCAGTGTAATTCTTTTTTATAAATACTTATAACCATGTTTATAATGCCTTATGAATACATTATAACATGTTATAAATGTGTTTATAGATGCTTACAAATGCGACATTCATAGAAAGTGTTACCCATCATTTTTTAAAACTATAAAAATGAGTGAAATTCCCATTAAAATAGTCCCAGATAAACCTGTGATTCCTAACGCTATAGGACAAAAAGTAAACAGGCAACATTCAGGCTTCAAGATGCCAACTACTGCCATTTTTATCTATATGACATGCTTGTATCCAGTATCGTAGATAACAGTATGTAATACAGTGTCAGAAAACACATGAGCAAATCTAATTAAGATTAGTTAACAACACGTTCAGGCAAATGTATATAAGCTTCCTTTACTTGTTAGCTACAGCCTCGTAGCTCCAGCACAGAACTTAAGAAGCAAACTTCAGATACCAAACATGTCTCAGCTGATTGATGACATTACCTGTGTTAATTAGATTTTTTGATGAACTATCACTTTAACTCACACATACACACAACTCACACAAAATATTAATTCTAGGCACAAAGTCAAGGACAGAACTCTAAAGAACTGCTGAGAGAAAGTGGCTTTTTTTTGTGTGCACCACAAATCAGGACCCAAACAAAAAAGTGTGACCCAAGGTCAAATGCTTATCAGTGATTCAGTGGTAACGGCAAAGGCCCAGCCGGTTGACAAAGCCTCGCCATTGATATGGAATATGACAGAGTCTCTAATGATGTGAAAAGCCTTATTTTTTCCTCGCCGCCAGCTCTGTCATAAATTGCACGGAACAGGTTTGGGGGTGAAATTAAGCACATGTCACTCAAACAAAATCTCTCCAGTGTTTAACACTTTCACACTTGAGTTGCTTAAAAGTGAGAAAATGATAGGAGCAGGCTTCACCGTCTTGACTGTGTAATTAGATTTTTTAACAAAAGCGCTGCCAGTCAAAAGACTGGTTTTAAACTTTCGGGGGGAGAGGGCATCCTAACAAATGGAGAAGTGAGTAGAATACAAAAGGCATCAGTAATTAAAGTCTCTAACTAAACAGTAGAAAATAAAGTCAGAGGCCGTTTTATTGGGGACACATGTGGTTAAAGTGGTTAAAATGGTTAAAGTGATGGGACTTCTCAGAATAATAAGCCACTATTAATCTACAAGAATAGGATTTACTTGAGTATCTAAAACGGTTTTATTGCAAAATATATATTCACACCATGATATACACTGACCAGCGAAAATATTATGATGAAGTGAATAACACTGACTTGGACTCGCAGAGACTTGAGACTCGAATCTGACTCGTACTTTAGAGACTCGAGACTTGACTCTAATTAACTCGTACCTCAGAGGCTCAAGACTCGAATCTGACTCGTACCTCAAAGACTCGAGACTTCACTCTAACTTGCAACTCAGAGACTTGAGACTCAAATCTGACTCTCACTTCAGAGACTTGAGTCTTGACTCCAATTAACTCACACCTCAGAGACTTGAGACTCAAATCTGACTCGACTGACACACCTCAGAAACTCAAGACTTGACTTTGACTCGCACCTCAGACTTAAGACATGATTCTGGTTCTTACCTCAGAGACTCAAGACTCAACTCTGACTTGCAGCTCAGAGACTCAACTTATACTCGCACCGCAGAGAACTGACTCACACTCGCACCCAAGAGATCTGACTGACTTACACTTCAGAGACTTGAGACTCGACTGACTCACATCTCAAAGAATTAAGACTTGACTCTAACTCGCAGCTCAGAGTCTTGAGATATGACTCCAACTTGCACATAAGAGAGTCAACACTCGACTCTGCCTTGCACTTGAGAGATTCAAGACTCAACTCTGACCCGAACCTCAAAGTCTCAAGACTCAAATCTGACTCCCACCTCAGAGACCCGACACATGACTTGGACTCGCACCACAGAAGCTCGAGACGTGTGTAAAGTCTGATTACACTGCTGTGCACCAACAGACAGGAAAAATAATATTAACCAATATGTTGTACCTCCCCCACCAGCTCCACAAAAAATGCTGGGCTAGTTTAGAGACCCTCCCTAATACCATCCATCCATACATCCATCATCTAAACCGCTTATCCTTCTGGGTCGCGGTGGGGTGCTGGAGCCTATCCCAGCTGTCACTGGGCGGAAGGCAGGATACACCCTGGACAGGTCGCCAGTCCATCGCAGGGCAGACAGACAGACATACACATTCACACACACTCACACCTAGGGGCAATTTAGCACGTCCAATTGGCCTGACTGCATGTCTTTGGACTGTAGGAGGAAACCGGAGTACCCGGAGGAAACCCACGCAGACACGGGGAGAACATGCAAACTCCACACAGAAACGACCCTGGTCACCCGGCCGGGAATTGAACCCAGGCCCTTCTTGCTGTGAGGCGACAGCGCTACCCACTGTGCCACCATGCCGCCCCCTCCCTAATACCGTGTTTCAAAAATGTCTCAGTATGGAAGTAAAATGCACTCATTTCCAATTCATGTCGACTTTAATCGTGTCAGCTTATTTCGTCACCAGTCACAAGGCATATCACGACTGCAGTATGCAGCAGTATAATCACAATACCTACTCTAATGTTCGTTGGCTAACTGTACTGGAGTCTAAATCCTGTTTAAATCCCATCATCTATTACTGGTTACTGTATGATCTATTTTAGAATGAAGGGAAGGTATTAGCTGTTTTTAATATGCATTGAGAAATGTGTTTGTAAAAACTGTTTATGCAAGCATTTCAAACCCAGCTTAAGCAAAAAAGTGAGACCACCTTCAGTGCGCGTCCCCTCTCTGTAAAAGACTGCTTAGTCAGTGTCACCCCAAAGACGGCTTATGCCTACAGCTCTCCTTGAAATATTGGAAGGTTAATCAGTTCTTTCTGACAATCAGCGATAAATATGTTTGGAAAGAAGTGGGGAGTGGGAAGGCACAGTCTCTTTTAGAGGCAGCTTATAGACTCGAGTTTTGAGTGTCTGAGTAATTCAAAAGGAGAATGTAAGTTTATTTATTCATTAGTTTTAATTTCCTGCTCTTCTCATAACGTATAATAGAAAACATTCAGATGAGCTGCATCACGTTTCACTTGTGTATTTAAATCTGTAAATAATTCCATAATGTAGAAATGTACTGATACGTACATACACAAAATATCATCCCACAGCACCTGCCCAGTGCTCAAAACTGGTCATTCTTGGAAGAGTCCAACAAAAACATGGCACAGATGTGCACAGAACAAGACCATCA